GTAAAGTCCTTCATGCCCTATTTATGGCTATATCTCCTGAAGAATTTAGGCGAGTGTCAATGTGTGAGGTTGCTAAAAAGGTTTGGGATATCTTAGATACCTCTTATGAGGAAAATAAGAAAAACACTGCCTTTGTTGCTAGGATTAAGACTGGATTTGAACAGGGGAGTGAGAGAGATGAGGGCTTAGATAGTGGTGAGAATTCTGGAGATGAGTCTGAAAGTGAGGAAGATATTGAAGAGGCTTATGAAAAGATGTATCGGGAGAGCCTTAAGATTCTTAGTAAGAACAAAACGTTTAGTGCGATGATTAAGGAGCTTCAATTAGAAAAGGAAAAGTTAGTCGCACACATTAAGGAAACTTCCTCAATCCTAAGTGAGCTTAAGTCGATGAATGAAGCCTTAAAGTCTCAAGTTAAGAATCTCACCTGTGAGCTTGGAAGGTCGTCTAGGAAAGTCAGCGAATTGATTGTCATGAATGACATTTTGCAAATCTAGGTAGTGAACCTTGTGTGAGATTTAGATAATTTAAAGTCTCAACTTCTTGCCTTCACTAGTGATTCGTCAAAAAGCTAGATAATATTCTAGGAATAGGCAAGTCAGTTGGAAATAAGGAAGGTCTACGATACAAGGGTAAAAGTTATAATGTTGCTAGCACTTCCAAGACCACGTTTGTCTCTGCTTCTGCCCAGCCTAAACATGTGCCTAACCTCGAACCTAAGGTTAAGGGATCTATAGGACAGAGGTCTACTAGATATCGTAGGACCCGTCGACCTAGGAATAGAAATCAGTGTCCACATAACAAAGGTCCTAGGTTTATCCCGACATGCTTTCATTGTGGACAATTAGGTCACATTTGCCCTAGGCGTCATAAGTACCTAAACAATAGGAAAAACTTGAGCTTGAAAAAGGACAAAAACCAGGTGTCTAGTGGTCAGATTGAATTCCTTGCTGATCAAGTAAATCATTTGACTCAATTGGTGACACAACTATCTGGAAACAATCCCCGTTCTAGACAAGTTTGGGTGCAGAAGAGAAATCTCCCGAATTTGGTAGTAGATCACGGTGTTCTTAAAGGAAAGAGCACTTTATACCTTCTTGATTAGGTATTTCTGATGCATGCCTAGCTATCGTTTGTCATATCATGAATGCATGCATCACGTGTATATATATTTTTATTTTATTTTTTCATGCATATTTAGTTTTGTCTTTGTGTTTGAATTTATTTTATTTTGTGTGTGAAGCATTCATTTTAGGAAAAATAAAAAACTCAAAAACATTAAAAAATTGAAAAATTGAAAGAAGACAAAAATAGTCGGTTGTGGAAATTGCTACAGCATGGCACATAACTTTTGAACTTGCATGTTGTGATCATGTTGTAGCTAAATTTGATAAACATTAGAATAATTTTCATTGCTTGGTTAGGTCTATTTGGATTAATCTATATAAGTATCTTCATGTACTATTTGCACTACAAATACTATGAACTTGTTAGTGGGACTCTACCGCGTGCGTGAGATTTGGGATGGCTGTCACGTGTTGATAGGATGACTTCGAACATGAATTGACCATTTTTTGTAGACATTAACCCAAAAATCTTCCCTCGTCTTATATATGCTCATATCTTAATGTTCTTCTTCGGGACCTATTTGACTCGAGTAATTAAGCCTGGGGTGTCTATTAAAACCTGGTGCCTATGATCAACTGACTTGGGTTAACCGGCCTAAAACTCGCTACAAGGGCCATTTCAGTCGTCTAATGGAGAGGAACATGCAGTTAAGATAAAAAAAATTGATGAACTGGAAAAATGAGAAAAATGTGAAAAATATGATGAGTTGGAACGATATGAAAATTAGAAAAATAAAAGCTCACTATAAGGGAGAGATAAGTAAAATAAATAAGTATATGTCCTACTACACTTACAATGTTTGACTTTTATAAGTAGAGGAATATACTTATTTACAGTGATTAGGATATCCCTTCTCACAAAATTAAGGTTTGGAGTACTACTTGCATTGGATCAATGACACATTACACACATGAGTCACTTGTACTTCTTACTCTATTTTGGACTGAACTGAGTATGTGGGGAGGCTTACTACTTGTTAATTTTGCATATAAATGCTATCAATTGCACTTTTTGATCATTATGTTTTGTTGCTCTGGTTGTTCTTAATGTGATTCCCTTTGGCATTTGTGACGAAAAAGGAGAGAGAAATGTGTAACTTAGGGGGAGAAAAATAATGAAACATAATGGAAAAGTATACATATAGGAGAGCGACTACATATGCAGCACATGTTTTCATGATTGACATTACTTGCATTACATTGCTATGTCTAAGGGTCGTTGAGGAGAAACATAGATACATTTACCTACTGCATAAAAACATGATATTTTGCAGTAAGGGGGAGCGCTGCATTGCATTTCATACCACATTCATCTGTTTGAGTTTTGATATTTAGTGGTGTTGGTGTTTCGGTTAGTGTTTTGATTGGTATCAATATCATGTCTCAAATTAACATGTTGAATTGTGATTAAGTGTTTTAATTGTTACATTTCCTGTATCACGTACTTTTACACTGGGTATATAAGTTAGTGGATTTCAGGAAACATGTAAAAGAAGGAATGCAAGACTCAGTTATTAGAATTACTGGGTAGTATAGTTTTGGTTGTTAAGTCCTGATTTATTTTGTATAGTACTGACTTCATTTGTATGGTTTAGTCACAGAATACCAAAGAGGGAGTTTTTTAGGTCTAAAAGTGTAATTGACGATTCTGTGGACAAAACGGGCTAAATTGTATAATTGTAAAAGTCAGAGACTTAATTGAACATTGGTGTAAAAGTCAGGGACTCAGGGTGCAATTTTGTATAGATGAGGCAAATTAGTGTTCGAGTCGTTGAAGGAGTCCAAGATGTCCAAGAAGATCACACAAGATCATCGGAATGCAATTGGAAGTCTAAAAGATATCAAAGAGCCGCACAAATTTTGTTCCAGATTCTTAGTCATAAATTACAATGCATTTTACACATAGATAGCATTGAAATTTGGACAAGGCTATCCTAAAATAATTGTATCCATTTGAGTTAGCTTTTCAACGCAACTTGAATCACCTCAATTGAATATTGGAAAAAAAAAGTTATGATAAAAATACTAATGCCTACTCAACTGTCGCTCGCTCTTCACTTGCTCCTCGCTCGTGCGACGGTGTTACGTGGCCAAACCCTAGGTCGCGATTTTGAGAGTTTTACACGGCCCATGACTCCTATTTGCCCCAGCTATAAATACACAAGTCAAAGATGTGAGAAATAAGGTTGCCACATTATTCTTTGAGTGCATTATATCTTCATATCTTTATTCAAGAGATCCAAGGAGAAATCAATTAGAGAATTCATCAGCATAATTCTTGTGATCCGGCAATCTTTGGGGAAAAACATCAAGGTTCTTGAAGATAAAACACCTACTTCCTTAATCTTGTGAGGAATAGACTCTCTCATTGGGGAATTGAGAGAGGTAGACGACAAGCGCAGTCAATTGGACAAGAACAGGTAGTTTTTTGAATTCCACTTGATGGTACAATCAGCTAAAGACCAGGAGGCTATAGTGGACAGCAAATTGGGCTGCAGAAGGTAGATCAGGAAGTCTAGCAAGTGGCTAGAAGCATCTACGGTAGTAGATCATGAGACTGGAACAACGGGTTTGATGAGGTATGAAGTTTGGCACAACTTGTACTTGCTGAATTGGTAGAGTGAAAATCACTGGCTTGGTCCCAGAGTTCTACCCACATTGGGGTTTCTCCGTCAACAAATTTGTGAGTGTTGATTTGTTTATTATTTACTTTACTTTACAGCAAATTGGTAGTTCAACATATGATTAATTGGATTGCATGTTTAACTATCTAAACATTAATTAAAGTGATTTGTTGCTTTGATTAATTAATTTCGCACGTAAGGTCGAACAAATTGGTAATTTAGAACGTAAACTTAGTAAAGCTAAAATTTTAAATTTCACATTGCAACCCGTTAGGTGACTTTTCAAGTAGTATCCAGAGCATTCCAAGATTTTTCATATTTGATTAGTGAATTCGAGAACTTCAATTGTAGGAATCAAAATGGAGTGAACCAAAATCAAAAATCCAAATTGAGCCATTGTATTCCATACTGAGCAATAGAATCAATTATTTCATTTTTCAAATATTTATTAGTACTCGGTTCAATTCAGTTTTCTAGGAAATCGAATCACGACTATCCCTATTTAAAACCAAATCGAACCAATTTAATTTTGGGATTTTATAACAAACAATGAGTTCTTGATGAATAGACCAACCACTTCTGGTCCTATACAACAGACTATTCTCTTGGGTAAACAAGACATCCAAGTTCTATTAGAAATTCAGCAGTTGTATTTCAATTTCTGAGAGGTCAAATATAAATTTTGTAATGAGATGGTGTAGAGATTGTTGCAAAGAATAATAATTGAACCATCAACTGAAGAAAAATAAAAACAGCAAAAAAAAACCTACTAAAAAAAAAAAACAAAAAAAAACCCTTTTAAAAAAAAAAAAAAAAAAAAAAAAAAAAAAAAGCAGAAATTATATAAGAAAATGAACTACCATGGCATTCTGTAGTTGATGAACTGTAATAATTTAACAGAATATTTTTGGGTTCGACAGTTTAAGTTCGGATTTCAAAAAAAGAATAGAGAGGTAAGTCCAACAATAGGTTCGTCGATTCATATGAAAGAAAATAAATTCCAACTCATCGGAAAATAAACAGAGGGCCCACTGCTATATAGACAGAGATTACATAGCATTTGGTGAAGTAATAAATGCTGCAAATATTTAATTAACATGTTGCTGACCAACTAAAAATGGCCACAAAGTATCATTCAAAAAAATTGAGTTTGAAATGTTACCCTAAATCATATAACAAAGAGGACGTAAAGTACTGATTTCGGCCACAACTCTCTCTTCCTCAAAACCAAAGCAATTAGTTTGAGGCCTTACTTAAACGAGCTCTGAAGTAGGCCGGAGATTGGCAATTTCAGGTCATGTGTCAATCTCTGAAGAACCTGTGCTAATAAGTGCACGTCTGATAGGGCTCTATGCGCCGAACCAACCAATGGAATATCGTAGTATTCCCCAAGGGCTGGTAAGGATACTTTTGATGGAACTTTGGATCCTGGTGGCAACATTTAAACCAAGTTAGCTATAAAAATGCATATGCATCTATGATCACACGTTCTGAGCAAAGGAGAGAGGGGAAACCTTCAGATTTCATCACTGCATGAGCCAGTGGAAGGGTGTCGATGAACAACCAGTCAGGAGGAATCTCGTAAGAGCAGCGACTAAAATCTCTTTTCAAAAAGGGGACGTCAAAATTGCGAGCATTGTGAGCAATTAAAACTACAACTCCACCAGGTATCTGGCGGCTTTGAATATACTTCAGTAACAGAGGAATCAGTTTCTCCATACTACAAAGGAATTGTTTGGAAAAGCTTATTTCCTTATAAGCAAAGACATAAACCAATTATAACTCAAACGTGAGCATTTCAATTTGAAAAATTTTCAGACATCAATCACACATAGACACAGAAAAGCACAAGATATTTAAAGATTTATACACAGAATCCCACCCAGGTGGATCAGAAAGGCACTATTTTTACACAATCATTTGTACAACATTAACAATTTCTGTAATTAAAATACTTGGGAACATCAGATCTGTTTACCATATCGCTTGAAAATACCATGAATGTGTGTATTTGGCACATAACGTCCCGGATTTACAAAGTACTGTTTTTTCCTCCTCGTCGATCTTGAAAGGCAATCTCAATAACCCGATCCTTCTCTCTGCCAAATCCAGTAATTTCAATATCAAAAGCAATAATTGTTACAAGCCTTTCCAAGTCTTTGTTGTCAGCAATCTTTTGTGAAACATAAGATTGACTTCTTTTCAGTTCAGTTGTTTATAATTCATATGTATTTAACTTAATGCTACTTGTTTCTTCTGACATTTCATATCTGAGACTAGTTTTGCTGCTCAAGGTCTCATTTTTTCCCCCTGTTTTCGTATTTACAGATCTTCTAATCCACTTTCTACTATATCCTCCTTCAAGCTTATATCTGTGACAACCAAGAACCTCTACGCTGGAATTACTGACACTATCCCTACCTAACTTGTATAAACTTCCCCGCCAAGACCTAGTTAAGGTGTGAATTTTACACCGAGGAATTTGCAATACAGAGAAGCACATTGCAATTGTTTTCATTGGAACCCAAGAACGACCTCACTACCAGATCCAAAGGGGAGAGAATACGTAAAATAACTTAACCTGCAGACGACGTCATAACAAATATTAAACAAATGCTTAATTCTGATGCCAACATAATTTAAAATAGTAATACTAAAACTCCAGTTAGCAAACTGTTCCAAGTTGTTCATCATCATATAATAAGCTAATCATTCAGACAGTATTTTTTTTATCGAAAAGAGGTCTTAGAATTATCTGTTTGTAAACTAAGTTTACTGCAATTTTAAAAGGAAAACAAACAGAATCCCATAGAGCAAGGAATATGGTTTGAATTACTGGTGGAGTAACGGTCTCAGTTACATCTAAGGATCTTCATGATGGACTAATATAAACATGAGGTGTTCGACACAGTGAATAGCTAGCTCATTATCAACCACGTTTTGCATTGAAGCAGTGTTGAATTGAAATGACTTAATTATGCTGCATATCCGTTGTCACATAGATTAGTTCTAGCATGCTGCAATCTGTCCAGTAGCATAATTTTATTTTCAGGTTCATTGTGCTGGGTAGCATACTAATGTTAAGACAATATACTTTGACCACTATGACAAGTAATCTTTGTCTTCATTAGTTTGAACTACTGCTAGAACCTATGATGCTCAGACTAGAGTACGGATACGGGTACATATGTAAGTGTCGGATTTTTTATTTTAAAAATGTAAGATATGGGGATATGACTAAAAAGTGTCCAAATTTCGGACACGGGTACATGGTTACGTCTTTCAAACTTCAATTTTTTTACTAACCCAAGATATCATTTTGAATAGACTAAAAACAATTGTTCACAAAGACGGAAACGAGTACTGAATAAAGGGTTAAGAGGAATAAAAATAGAATTTTGGAGTTTAATTTTCAATTATGAGAAGTTGAATACTAAATGTTATATAAAATATAAAATGAGGAACTTGATTGCAATTTAGACTTAGTAGAGCACTAAGTAAGACTATATGGAACCCATTTTCATTTTATACAAACAAAACCTTAAACCACCGATACAAAGGGGAAAGGAAGGGAAAAAAACAATAAAAATGGAAAGAAAAAATAAGGAGGGAAAACCTAGTGCCATCGCCTTTCTCCATCCTCTCAGAGGGTGTTAGGTTTATAGAGACCAGAAATGGGAAAGAAAAGGAAAAGAAAAAAAGAAAGAAGAAGCAAAAATGATGAAATGTTTTGTTGAAAGATCCAACACATATCCTATATCCATGTCGTGTCGTGTCGTTTCCGACACAGATACACCGACCATTTTGAAGAGTTTGAGCACAAGAGGCTAGAACTGTGAGTATAAACTCCTTAAATCACGTGTTCAAAATAATTGCATAACGAAATAGGACAGGGCTGTGAAAATTGAGTTACTAAAAAGTACACAGATCAATCAGGTACCGTTAGAAAAAGGGAAATGGCTGTTTTCCACATTCATAAATGACCTGTTTCATCTCTAACACCAAAACAGCCTACCTTGTATCCACGAAAACCCACAAAAATCCTTTTCAACCTAAGGCACGAAACAGATCCTGACTAAATTGCAGGTGATTCCCTATTAAAAGTTGCTAAGAAAATACTTTCCGAACCAAAACTGAAGCACCCAAGGATAAGTCTAGATGATTTAGATTAATTGTATTCCGATGGATTATAGGAAATTAATGTGCCCAATTCTTAGAACTCTACCATCTAGATACAATCCTAAATCAATGCCCAACTGAATACCATTACCAACTTGTTCTTTCCTTAGTTTAAAAACCAAATATGAGGTGGCTATTTATGTTTTTATACTGAAACAATTGGGGATTGAATAGATTCAAAAATTCAACTATGGTTCTAGTATCCAGATCCCATGAACATAAGGGCAAATTATTTTTGGGAAGCTAGTACAAGATAATCTATAAGAATATTCTGCGAGTTAATTAAATGGATGCTCACTGAAATATACCATTTGTTTCCACTTGCTCACCTAAGAATAAATGGTTACCGGATGCTTACTCAACTTTTCATTAGTTTACCCATCCATCATTAGGCCCAAATCTGTCTGTACAGTTGGACTATAAATTCCACGTAGATAGAAAAAATGACTTGGAAAGTGAATTATGTCCACATCATTTAAAAATATTATTTTTTAAATCCCAAAATCGTTAATTATTAACAATGGTTTTATGGATGGCCAAAATCAAAGTTCTCAGAAATCAGAGATGAAATTTTCATCCCCAAATCACCTTCATCTTCAAATCACATCCTCTAACTAACTCATTCAGTTGGTAATTTCAACTTTGTAATCTATGTCCAAAAAGCTCTATATCTACTCCCAATTAATTGAAATTAAATTTACATTTTGCATAGTTATCCCAAATCATAACAGTCCCTAGACAAATTTCCAAATCCAGGCACAATCCATTATGCATAGTTTAAGCGGAGAATGTCATTGAACACGTAGAAGCTTCCATGTGGTGTTGGCAACAAATGGAACATCTGAGCCCGTGCTGTTCATTGGAAAGTTAGAGATTACCGGAGACAAAAACAAGCATACTTAGAGGCGAATTTAGGACTTTGAGTCAGCACGGGCGGCTATCGATCATAATAAAATATTAATAGCTCGTTTGATGTCCCTTTTTTACAAAAAAAAAAAAAAAAAAATTTAAAATAGTAATTTAAAAAAAAATGTTTGATTAAAAATAACTACATGTTTTGTATTGTATATAATATTTCACAAAATTATAAACTTCAATGCAATGGTAATAAACATAAATGTTTCTGCCTTAAATATTGATTTAATAAATAAAATTTAAATAAGATTTATAGGATTTAAATGTGAAAAAATTTACCTTTTTCATATAACTTTTTAAAACGAAGATTTTTTTTAAAAGATAAGTACTATTGTTATTTTCTAAACGGTTTTCCTAAACAAATATTGAAGAGTAAGAAAAGAAAGACTTTTCCATAAAGAACCATGTGTTATATCTCTAATTTTAGTGGTTTTGCTCACACCCTATCATGTTTTTATGTAGCCATTGCAATAAAGGAACTATTTTATTTCATTATTGTTTTCAGATTTGTTGTTTTAGCCAACTTTCCATGTAAAAAATTATTAAATGCGAAAGGATGACTTCTACGGTTCGATAGAGTACCCAAAGAAACCACAGGAATCAACAGTTGAGAGACTTCGCATGAAATAGAAGGCTAAAATGAAATTAAAAAATATATGTTGGGAAGAGAAGTACATAATTTGAAGAGACTGAATGTGTGTGTGTGTGTGTGTATATATATATATATATTTTAAAAAAGGTCTGATTATAGTGCTCTATCTCCCAAACACTGAACAAGTAAAAGATATATAATATGATTACACATTCCACATATTCAATCTATTTCTAAGGCCATAATGTAAGTAATTTGGAAGCAATCACAAACTTAATAAACTTATAAGTTCACCAATGGAAATGCACAAAAGAACAAGGGAAATAATTGAAAGTAATCAAGCAAAAACATAAAAAGGTATTTTGTAATTCACTACAAAAGACCAACAAAATTATAGTACATAAGTCGTACGTTAATCACGTATACATTCAATTTCTAAAGCTATAATGCAAATAATAAAAATGTAATTACGAATGTGAACCCGTTGAAGTTATAAATTTAAAAATCGAAATACATAGAATAGTCGAGGAACAGCGATAAGTTATAAAGGAAGAATATACAAAGGTACTTGACAAACGGTTTTGCTAGTCACTACTCACTATGAAAGAATAAAAAAATTAGTGTAAAATAGATATAGTTTGAAGAAATTGTACTTGAATCACACACAAGGAAGAGCCTTTACCAAAAGATTACACCACTATCCTACATTACAAGAGTGTACAAATTTGTGTTTATCTTAATTTTTTTCAAGATTTCCTTGATTTTTTTGTTGTGCCTTATTCTAATGAGAAACAGTAAATATATGCCTAAAACTTTTGTACACCAAAAAATAAAATAAAATAAAAAATTAAGTGCTAGAATTTCAAAGTTAAAAAAAAAAATGGAGTTTACATGGTGTGCAGTGGCGGATGTGGCAGATGGCGAGCTTCGGCGGCTGCCCGTGCTGGATTTGCAGGAGTTTTTTTTTTTTTTTTTTTTGTAAAAAAGGGACATCAAACGAGCTATTAATATTTTATTATGATCGATAGCCGCC